AAAGTTATATTAAAGGCTTTTTTAATATTAATAGTAATTATAGTAATTACTAGTTCTTAATTTAAGTTATTCTTTATAATATATATAAAAGTAGTGATAAAATCTATAGCTAAGCGTTTTAATAAGGTATTAAATTAATTAAGGTATAGTATATTTTAGTTAACTACTATATAGGCTATCTATTTTACTATTAGCCTTTCTAGGCCCTTGAAGAGGTAAGAAAGGAAGGCAATTAGTTACTAGGAGTATATATTAAAATAGTCTTTTTTTCTAACCTTAAGTATTATTATTACTTTACCTAGCTTAAATACTAGTAGGTAGTACCTAAGTATAAGGTATCTTTAATATAGCTATAGTATATACTTCTTAATATATAGCTAGATAGCCTTAAGGATATTAATAGTAATGTTATTAGAGCCTGGGGATATATTCCCTGTTAAGGTGACTGCCTAAAAGATAACCGAAAGACAAGTAACGTGTAGGGTATTCAAATCCATTCGAACAAGGAACGCACTGACGATCCACGTGGGTGATGGATCTTAAAAATTGATCCGTCCCACCAGCGCTGTTACCCCGATCCACTAATGACTAACATAGCGCCGACGATCTCCCCCAACTGACTCTGAGGCTCTGCATTTGCATCGTCGTGTGCTACTATAGACAGGGCTACGCATTGAATCGATTCATGTATTGGGATCTACCAGCAGACGATCAACTCAATGGTGAGGTTTACTGCGATATATAACGTCTCTGGGCGTCGAGTGCCGGCGTTGTATCCGATTTCTTGGAGTGTTAAGAGAGGAGGAATTGTTCCGAGACCTCGGTTGGACAGGCGCAAATTGGAGTTCGTCTCAGAATGTCTCCATTTCGTGGGAACATTTCATCCCAACAATCTTGTTATTTCCGTAGCCCCTTTCAATTCAATGGAGATCATGCACATTCGGCCCGGAGTTCGGAGCAGACCTAACGGCGGAATATCAGCGGTAGAATGTGTCTAGAAGCTCAACACTAAACAAGTCTTGGAAAGTGTCGGCAAACTTTGATAACGAATGAGCTTGTTCGATATTAACTTCATCTAACGTTTCAGCGAAGAACAACGGTTCATTCTGCTACCAAAAGAACCCAAGTGGCGTTGACGAAAGTGGAAGCCCAGCAACCTGGCACAGCGGAACTTGATCTCAAAGGATTCCCAAATGCCGAAATTTGATACGCCGCCATCTCCTGTGGCGCTCATTCTGGTGGCGTTCCCCCTGAGTCAAGTGCCATTTTAGTGGGTAGCGCAAGAGTCTGTGATGACATTTGTTGAGGCGCGAGAAGGGAAAAACCGAGGCTTGAGTGACATTAAGGGAAATGTAGCCCGGAGCCATTGGTAACTCTCCAGTATTGGAGCTCGGTTGCAGGATTAGAGTGCTGAAATACAATGCGTCTGCACGGTGATGTGATGCTCATCCTTGTAGATCATGCGTACCGAGAGACGATCATACCATGCATCTGGGACCAGACCCTCGGGTAACGGCAGGGATATGGTTACGCTATTCCACCAGCGTATTCTCCCATCAAATCAGGTAGTCCAATGGCTCAAGTGTCAAAGCGAAGGTCAAAGCGCATGCGATTCATCCAGAGACTTGGCTAGAGAACCTCGTTTCGCCACGCCACGCCAGACCGTTCCTGGAGTCTCGTCCCGCGGCACTAATATCTCTAACTCTTACGCTTAGCATCTGGACACCTCCACCTACCTGCAGCACCCAAAACGTGGTTCTGGTAAGTGTCTGCATGTATAAACCCCCTGGATCCCCAGATTCAGTCCCTCTTCCCTCTCTTTCCCCGGCCGATCTTTCATTCCTCTTTGCCTTTTTGTATCACTCCTTTATACATCATGTCGGCAACTACGAGTGACATCAAGATCGCTTCCATTGCTATGGGGTTCACCCTTGGCTTTGGACTGCTAACTATTTGGGAGGCCTGGAAGCAGACTCGACGGAATCGAAACCCGCTTCGAAGTACTTATATTTACATGCTCTGGGGAGAGATTCTGGCGAATATTATCATCGCTATCGTCGGATGGATTTTCTTGGATGGAATCATCGGACCGACGTGAGACAGCCACTCAGCCAGTGTCGAAAGTGGCGTACTAACAGTGTCTAGTGTACCGGTCTTGTTCTTTATTCTTTTCTTCTGGGTCTTTGAGGTCCAGCTTCTTATGCAAATTATCGTCAACCGAATCTCCATCATCGCCGAACATCGATCTACTATCTTCAAGCTGAAATGGGGAACCGCTATTACCATCACTCTCATCAACATCGCCGTTTTTGTCATCTGGATTCCTGCTCATACTGTTCCCCCCGCCAGTCAAACGTAAGTTACTGTTGAAGGCTTGACTAAGATCGTACTGATCAATGCAGCTTTGTTCGCATCAATGAAGTCTGGGATCGTGTCTCCAAGGTTCTCATCCTTCTCGTCGATGCTGGCCTCAATTGGTACTTCCTTCGAACTGTCAAGAAGCGACTCGTTGAACAGCATCGCTTGAAGAAGTATGAGCCTTTGGTTGGCTTCAACGCAAAGCTGATGATAATTTCGATCCTCATGGACGTAAGTATCTCGTCTCTCTCTCGAAACACAACCCGTGCTAACTCCTACTAGGGCATGCTCATCGGTCTCATGTCGCTCCCCAATCAGGTCGTCTACATCCAATTCCACCCCGTCGCATACATGGTCAAGCTCAACATCGAAATGTCCATGGCCAAACTCATCACTCGCCTCGCAAAGGGTGAGAACGCCGACGACTACTACCCCTCTATGTCGTACTCTGGCCACCACCAAAGCAACAACCAGCGCACCAACGATGCACCATGGACTCAGGGTAATAATGTCCAGTTGACACATCGATCAAAGGTTGTCGCTGGCGATTCCGATGAGGATCTGTCGAGTACCATGGGTAGACACAACGGCGGACCTGGCATTCATCGCCGAACAGAGTTTGAGGTTACTGTCGAGACGAAGCCTCAGAAGAATCCTTTTAGGGAGGGCACAGACTCTGGGGATGAGCTGCCTTTGACTTCAAATACCGGACATCCTAAGCAGATGACGGTCGAGGAGGTTAGCCGTATCCCATCTATCTCTAGTAGCAGACGGTCATGAGATCTTCACACATTCTTTAGCTATATACCGTATACATAATAAATAATACCCCAGCATATCAACAACATCATAAAGCTCAGCATCTTGCTGTCAAGCCGCAACCTTTTCGAAGATTAATTACAGGATTGATGGTAAAGGCTTTGTAATGCCCTAGGGCTTGCAACAAGATTTATTAGTCATCGTAAAAGTTTATAGGTATTATGTCGTGGGGAAAAAATATCGTGTTGTCATTCATTATCTGTGTTCGTAACCTTGTAGGCGCCAGTCATCCCCATAGCTCATGATATCTCCACGTATCATGTCAAATTAATACCCTATAAAATCCCAAATAACTCAAATACTAAGAAATATAGCTAGAATACAAACAGGTCTCACAAGTTAGAATAACAATAAGCTCAAAACTGAGAGCGAAATGACACTTATCAGAAACATTAGACTTCAGAAACTTTGCTACGCAAATTGTAACTCTAGGATGTCCACTAAACATGTATTCTCTACCAATATTAAGTTCAATATCAAAATAACCTTTGTATAAGACGCCATTTCTGAGTTACTCTATTCTGTGGCGAACTCCAGTGAGATGTATAAATACCAACATTCTCCCATCAGAATTTTTCTTCTTCCCTACCAAGGAAAAAGCCATTGTTCAATCTATAATCGCAAGACCAGACTGCTTCACTCTATAAACACCCCGCGATTCAGCGCCCAGTACACGAAGGCGGGATCACAAACCATCATGGATCCCTTCACCACAATTCCCGTCGAGTTGCGGTTGCAAATATTCTCATCCCTTCAATCCAAGGCCACTATCTCGAGCCTCATTCAGGCCTCTCCAATTATGCTCAAGGGATACCTGAGATACAAAGGTACAATAACACGAAATTTGCTCGAGCGCGACTTCGACGATCAGATGATCCAAGATGCCATGGGAATCATTCTATTTCCATCGCTCAGCGAGGCTCGAAAGTCACAGTCCCTAGTCCAAGAACACTTCAAGTTTTGGGAGTCACGCACGTTTCCGAATCCTTTGGCCACTCGCGATGTCTTTCTCATTGTTCAAATCGACAAATTGCATAGTCTTTTAATGGTCTTCGTCGAGGACTACATCACAAAAGCGACCGCAGCTTTTCCGCCTCGTGAATACATCTGTCTCCCTCAGCTTACCCACAGCCAAAGCCATCTCGTCTTCAAAGGAAAAGAGATAACAAGGAGATTTGATTCATGCAACCTTTCAGAAGGTGAGAGGCGACGCTTATTGAGGGCATTCTTACGGGTTGAGCTGATGTCTCTGCTTCAGAAGACTCTTAGCTCCAATAGCTATAGTCTCATCAAATGGCTACGTATCGGACTAGTCAGTGGAGTCAAAATACGAGACCAGGAGGCGATTCAATGTGTCTGCGTGTATACATCCTCACTATATGGTGCCGTCTTTGCCCTTTGTGCTGATGCCTGGCTGCCAGTAGCCGATGCGACCCCAGAAACCGGGCTACTATTTCCTGACAATCTCTTTGCAGATCCGACTCAGTATGGACATGACGTTGGCATCTACGGAAGAGAAGAGCGATCAACGATTGATTACATGGCTCAGGTCGGTTTCTCTTTAATCTTCGCGATAATTCGTTGTGCCATAGCCAGACCACAAGACACCAACACTCTCAAAAGCTTCGTCAAGAAGCTGTGTAGCTTCAGAATGAATAGCCTTTTACAAAATGCATTCAGAAGAGTGATTCCCTTAGGACGCTTCATCCCTCCGAATAACATGTACTACAGTACCCTGAATGGCGGTGAAGGTTTCCATGAGCAAATATGGTTTAAATCCCTTATGGACAAGCTAAGCCCCCCCCCATGGCGGTGCTCTACAGTACAAGATATTTCAACAGCGGGCATGGCCATTCTTCGACAACGACCGCCACTACGCAAAAGACACCGCTATGTTGCCACTATTCCCCCCTCAACATTTCTTGGACAGAATGGAACAAGAAAGAATCGATGAAATTACGCCCCTCTTCGGCCCAGGCCCTGTTTCAAAAGCTCAAGTAGAAATCAAGTTGAGAGAGTTTCGTCGAGCCCAAAAGTGGCAGGACAAAATGAGGCCGAAAGAGAATGTTTCGAGCATCGAGCCTTCTTTACCTAGGACTTCTATCGCAAATCATGAGGTATCACTGCCAGCGATTGAGAAGGAGGAGCACTTATTGACATGGAGTCCTCGGGGCGTTGTCCAATGGGATCAATCGAAGGAGGCTTATGTACTTGTAAAGATTTGAGCATCTGAGGGCAGAAGTAAATATTAATGGGAAATGTACTATATTAAATAAATTATTATAGAGTATAGTTCTATAGAAATTAATTTCTTTTTTCTTCCTCTCTCTTTCTTTTCTTTTAAAGTTATAACCTGTCAGGTCTCGAGATACATCTAGACCAGGATCTGGGTTGTCGAGTTAATGCTGCAGGGTTCATTAGCATGGGGTCTTCAGAGGCCACGTGAGACATACCATCAGATGAAACGAGATCACGAAATCTCTCATATAGACTAAACAACTGTATAAACTTCAACTGAACTTCTGCCAGCAGACTTTCAACAAAACCGTTTCCGAATCCTCTCCATGAGATACTCATCACGATGGATCAGGGGATAGTGAGGGTTGTCAATGGCGGATGGATTGATGGGCTTACGCGAGATGCTGTGACGCGACCCGACACGAGCACGATTCTTTGGGAAACTCTCTACAAACCGTGGAATTTATTTACGAAACTCGATAAAGGAGACGACGTGACCACGGCTGAGTCTGTGACTCTGTTACGCGACGTTTGTTCTGGGCACGATTCTTCAGACAAGAACTGTTCAGTCGTATGTACCAGCCCGCATGATTTGTTCGCCTCTTGGAGGACCCTATGGCAATGCCTGTCTCTCACATCTTTGACTCTCGCAAACTCCACATTTTCTACGCTCGATCAATACCATGGCGGGGCAGGAAACGGGACCTCAAGGGAGCAGATCTCGAGCGCCTTGATGTCTTTCGGCATCACTAATGCGACCGATTTTGACGGGAGAGCGGTTCTGAATCTGACTTATGAGTGTGCTACTGCAAGTTGCCGCGACACTAGCATGGGAAAGTGCTCTATCGGCCAGCTTGGCCCTGGGTATTTTCAGCGTGAAACTATCCAGTGGATCAAAGTGTACGAGGCTCTTGCGCCGCTCTGCGATGGACTGGAAAGCGATATAAACATCGATATTGCTGGACCAGGAGTAAGTCCTTGACTTCGGCGACGGTAACCCAAGCTTATCACTCTGCAGGTACTAATAACATACATCACTCAAACAGCCATGGTGGTCTTTGCATGGTTGTTCTTCCTACTTCTAAAAGTCAACAAGTTCATCAACACTTCAACATCAATCTTCACACATCTCTTTCGAAAACGGAACCCTGGACCCAATCTCTTAACCCATCGTGTATCAGGTCTTGAACGCCTCGAACGCACGAATCTTGCGCACGCAACGAGCACCTTTCTTGCAGAGCTTCACGAAGCACAGTGCTTCTTCGTCGTCGCTATAGAGATAGCCCTGATAAACGCGAGCTCACGATCTGCTATCTTCACTGGCGCTGAGAACTGGCAGAGCCTTCTATGGAATCGTGACAGTGTCCAGTTCCTAGCAGGTATGGGGGCTTGGCCCATTATTCTCGGACAGATCTCCCTCCGAAGAGCCGAGCTCGACTCGATGTACTACCTCCTCCTCTCGACACTTGCGTTGGTACTTGCGGGTGTTGCAGCAGATACAGCTGCAAATCCAGACCCAGATCGGATTTACAAAATGTTTCAAGGGCAGAATACCCTTGAAGAATGCGGCGGTCATCCTTCCCTTCGAACCTTTTGCGTGGAAGAGCGAGAGAGTATATACTGGTATGTCTTTCCAGCGGGAAGCATATACGCATTCCTCGGATTGCTTGCTATACTATGGTGGGCCAAAATTTGGACCTTGTGCAATTCGCCAGCATTGTTTCTCCAAAAGCATAAGTCCTTATCAAAACGGCAACTTGAAGCTTGGGAATGGATCAAGTGGATCCTTATAAAAGCTGCTCTTTTCGCAATTCACATTGCCGAAGCTGGTGCTCTTGCTTGCATATGCTTTGGTCTAGCAGTCATCCGTGCACCACTCCTGAATTTATTGCTGAGAGGAGAGACAGGGACCTGGAGCGTTGGACAGCTGGTTGCGGTATTGATTTGGGCACCGGTGATATCCAAGTATGCCCATCTGGCAATTCGTAAGTTATCCCTCTACAAGGGGCTTCGAGCCATGTAGCTGAACATACATCTAGTCGGCGTGGAGAAAGGTTTCAGGCTTCGCTTGTCCAAAGCATTTGAAATTGTGAAGAAGTCGGATACTAGGTCTGGAAGTGATAGTGAGGCAATACCTCTGACCTGAGTGAACATAGAACAGAACATACGAATAACGAATATTGTCAGCAAAACTATCTTTCATAGATGGCGGGCTAATAATTTGCTTTGTCTTGATGGCATCTGAGGTGTCAGGTGACATAGGCCTCTATGCTGTCGCTGGCCAGTCTCGACCTATCAGCCGTGTACAACGATAAGATCATGTTGTAGAGTAACGCACAGACGCAGTAAGCTGGGTGCCAGGCCGCCGTGCTCACCAATCCAATCATACCAGCCCAACCCCGCTTGCTGCATTTATCGAGCTGAACCCGACAAGCTGAGCTTTGTACAAGTTATCAGCTTCTCTCTTCCTTTGGAACAACTAGACAACACGATGGCATCCTACAACTACAGCACGATGGACACCCTGGACTGGCCCAAGATTATTGTTATTGGTTTGGTCTGGACACCGTCGGCGTACTTCTTCAATTCTTGGGTCGATAGCCAACCGCCTGGTACCTTTGTAAGCATTGCCTGTGTAATCTTCTCAATCATCAGCCTCTTGGCTGGTTTCCACCTCATTTGCTTCGCTATTTTAGTTCTTCTATCGCCATTATTTGCCCTTGCATTACTCTACCGATTAATCATAGAGCTCCCTTACCTATGCACCGGGTTTGGTCCTTGGTGTCTCTCATTGTTCTGTGCTCAGAGGCCGCCACTTTACGCGTCGCGAAGCGAGATGCCACAAGGAAAGGACTGTAGGTTATGTGGTAGATGCAGCAACACAGTTGATCAGTCCTCCATCCTCCGGGGCACCCGGTGGAGATTGACACGTTCAAAGGAAGAGTACGAGTTTTATACCAAAGATCAGCTCCAGCAGTCCTCCAAAAATTGCCATCTATGCAGCCTCCTCTGGTATTCTTCATTTGGCGCCCAGACAAGTCCAGTGGCTGGAGCATCCTCGGGTGAGTTTATCGCCCGGGAACCAGACATCAATACGCCACTACTTTCCACAGTCTCCAGGTCACGTAATTCTCGTGACTGTGAACAAGGCATCGAAGCCAGGAACCTCTCAGTCCAAATCTCAGCAAGTAGGGAGTTTGGTTGCGAACAATCACTTCATATTCGTTTATACGAGAAAGGGTCTAGTCTATTCCCGTGGCTAAAAATCGAAGACGCCGGCTATGATAGGTTTGCGCGGGGACCGTGCAGCATGTCCATGACTAACTCAGTTCCCTAGTATCCAGTAAACATAATTGCGGGCAGTCCGACATAACTGGCTCCGGGCCCAGCTTCCGTTGGGCTCGAGAAATAATTGAGAAGTGCGAACGAGAGCACCACAATTGCCGGAACCACTTTATCCGATCAGCCAGTCAGCGGTATCTTCCCAAAAGACTTATTGACGTCCAATCGAGGGACAAGGGAGTCGTACAGCTTTTGTTGAGTGGCGAAATCCAACCAGCAGAAAATATCGTCGAATATGCTGCCCTCAGTCACTGCTGGGGTGCTACGGTCAAGTCTGAGCTCAGGGAGGATAATGGAGAAACGACGAAGACGATTCTGATAGAGACTTTGGATCCAAACTTCCGAGACGCCGTTGACATAACTTACAAATTGGGTATCAAATATCTATGGATCGACTCACTATGCATCATGCAACGCACTAAGGAATGGGAAGAGGAGTCTGGCGATATGGGCCTTGTTTATGCAAGGGCCAAGGTTGTAATCTCTGCGACAGCATCCAAGAACTCAGAAGGCGGCTGCTACAAACCCAAGGATCTCTTTCCTTATCACTGCGTTCTAGGCAGCAACTGGACCTCTTCACTCGTCGTTCGCTCGTCAATCAAGTATGCCAACCTGGTCCAGCTCTTCGGGGAGAAGGTCGACCGTTCGTTCCTGGCCACGAGAGGCTGGACCTTTCAAGAAAGATTTCTGGCTAGCAGGATACTGCACTTCTGCTCAGGTCTTATGATGTTTGAGTGTAACACATTGACTACCTCTGAGTGTCATGAGGAAGAAGAGTATCCCCTGAATACCCAATTTAGCCAGAATGGGACGATGAACGCGCCGACAGTCCCTCATCCAGGCCGTGAATCACCCAAACGACTCTGCAATAGGACGATCATACGACGTGCTGGGTCTTCCACAAGACATGTTACACGCCCAGCCAGGGACACAATTAGGAAAACCTGGTACGACAACCCTAAGCATAAACTATGGGCCGATAAGAAACGACGTTATGACGTACAAATGTCTTCTATAAGGACCAACGCCGCACGATTGATATTCGAGGAGCCTTCAGCTTCCTCTGGTCTTTCATGGGACAAGATATGAAGGAGAAGGCAGAGTTTCACCTGCGGTGGTACGAGATGGTGACGAGCTACTCGGTTCACAATCTTACAAACGAGAACGACAAGATGATGGCCATTGCTGGCGTGGCTTACTTCATCCAGCAAAGTACGGGCTTCAAGTACGCTGCTGGCCTCTGGCAAGAGACCTTGCCCTTCAATCTCCTCTGGATGGTGGATTCTGGGGTCAAAAGGCGACCGTATGGTCGGTCTGTTCCCTCGTGGTCTTGGGCATCCGTGGACGGTAAGATCTCGCACCTTCTAAAGAAAATCGACCCAACCTCTGTCTCTGGCTCAAGCGTTGACCTGACGGTCGAGGGCAGCAGTGTTTCCGATTCATGGGAGTATATAAAGTCCTTGGTATCCGACCTGAAAGTTCAAGCTACACATATGGTCAACGGCATGGCCCATAATGCTACGCTGACGCTGTCCTGCCCGCTCCGAACCTTGGTCCTTCGTCATTAGACTACGTTTACGATACGCCGGAATGCTATGAGCGGGGCGAGATAAGATGTCTACCTGTTCTCGAGTTGGTCAATCGCAGAGTTGGGCCGCTGACTAAAACGCCGCAAATCCATGGAATCCTGGTTCGAGCGGCGTCGAGCACTGCAAGCCAGTCAGATGGTACACTGGCTCGGTATATGAGAGTGGGGTACTTCTGCACAGAAAAGACAAACATCCACTTCGAGGGGATGAGTCGAGAGAGGCAACAGTCCATTGAGCTTATTTAACAAATACGTTCTGTCGGCAATGAGTCCAAGAATGTCACGGCGTTTAGCTGGTCTATGTCTTGGAAGACTTTTACGGCGCGGAGGCTTTTGAAAGGTCAACCATATTGAAACGGGCCAAGTATTTACCGAAGCTGCTATGACTGGACCCCAATCGGATACTGAGTTCGCAGAGAAACTCAAATCCAGTATTCACTCCAGTCATTTACTACAATACAGAGTTCTTTAGGCTGATTTAAGCTCTCGCCTACAAGTTCCAAGTACGACTAAGACATCTGACTCCTAACTTAGACTTTTTGTCATAATATACACGTAGTGATTCATGTATGCCACGTTCACAAACCAGTCAGGTGATCGAAATTGTAAAAGAATTTTATAAAATAAAAGTTTACTCTTTTACATAAAACCTAATGATAAAGCTCTTCATGCCCTTGAATCATATAAATATCTCTCCTGCGCCCGGAGCCTTCCCTTATCTCCCCCCTTTCCGCTTAACCTGGACACCCAATCTATCTCATCACTTCCAATATACGACCTCCTCGTGCTCCTTACCACCATCAAACTTCAGTTGATATTATGGCTACTACTTTTCACCAATTCCTTCTCCTTCCGCAAGAACTCAGGGACGAGATCTGGTATTTTGCCATTCGGTCACACCACCGTGGAGTCCAAATCTTTCAGATACACAAGTCACCCTCATATGAGGATAATGGAACTCAGAGTACGTCGCTGAGGGACTGTCTTTTGAAGATATGTGGGAGAAGTCTCCTGTCTAAGATAGACCTCTCACCAAATCCGGGGCAGCACATAAGGCCCTGGCATTTTGGCGCTCCACTGGGACACAAATCCTATAAGGGCCTCAATGGATCTCCAGACAAGATTGTCTCGACCTACATGATCGATCGCGGGCTGTGGACCGCTTGCAAAGAATCGAGGCGTGTTATTCGGAAACACTTCGCCAATCCCTCGAACAATCCCGGGGGACTAGCGGAGCGCGGGAGAGTGAGCTATTCTCAGGCAGCAACCCCTTCTACTTGTCTGTTTGGCCAGGCTCAGATCTTTTCATCCTACAGTTGGATAATTTCTTCGATACCAACTGGAGTCGTATTGAAGCGTTTGCCGGCACTCCAAAATCTTCTCCCTGCCCTGTAGAGTCTTGCCGGGAAATTGGTATAAAGTATGACAGCAACCGGGAGCATGGCACTGTCGGGATTTGGCGCGATGTGACATTTACCGTCAACTTTTCTTTTTTGCTCTCGCTGAAACAGCGCTTATGGTTGGTTGACACAAACCTGAAGCGGAAAAAAGACGCCGCCTCGTCTCGTGACAGCGACACAATGCAATTCTACGCGAGTGGTAGGAAGTTCGTACCAGTTCCTCTCGATAAAGGGGAAGGTAACTTGACTGAGTGGGAGTATGTGAATCCAGTGGCAGGTGGGAACTTTCGAAAGTCATCTATCTACTATGCATGGCTCGCAAATGAAGTGGCAGCAAATTTCCGGTTCCCTTGGCCCACGATATTCGATCGTGGGCATCCTTCCGAAGGTCGCATCGGACTTCTTGGATGGGAGGACCTTGAAGATTCATGATATTGTATATGGCTAGACCAAGTTGCAGAGAATATTATCTACTCACAATCGACGCTAATCAGTCTCTCACAAAAACCCGTCGAGGTAGATAAGCACTCCGGAAGGGCAGATTTATGGCCCGAAGGATGAAAATCCCATATGGAAAGTAAAGTATGGTAAAGACTTCTACGCCAAGAAAATGTTTCCTATTTAGTGGTCACTCCTTCAACTCATACATTATTGGACCCTTGTCTCTTTGTGCCTGGATCAAAATGTGTAAATCTTGCCCTCGATGTGCTACTTGCAGTTGAGACCTGTGATTGAGAGCTTGTTGTAATCGTGCAGAACTTGGTAAACAGATCATGCTGGGCGGCCATGTGCCTAAACACAACCTTTTTGTATAAGATACCGTCTAATAAACCTTTCTGATGTAGCGATTGGTCATTTATTATAGTAAAATGTCTAAGTTATTATCTAGATGTCTTACTTGAGGTTAAGACTTGTGGCTGAGAGCTTAAATCAGCAGACAGAACATAGCTGTCCAATAAACTCATCCGGGGTGAAAACTTTATTTCTTTTACACTCCATATAGTCTTCACGCAAGATTTACTTTTAGCGATGACTCAAGCGGTGTAACTTCTAGAGGTTTAATCATTTTGATGATGTATATATATACGACTCCCTGTCTGGATCTTTTCTACAGCATCCTTTCCCCTTCTCTCGTCACATCTAGGGATTCTTCCATCTTCACAAAAGCACAGATCGTCTGTGGTACGAGGACTTATCTAATCTCTTCACCTTTATGAACCGAAAATTCTCCATCATGACAACTGAGTTTCATCTTTTCTCTGCTCTCCCAACTGAGCTCAGGCAAGAAATTTGGAACCTGGCTATTTCTATTCGCCCAAAACCCGCAGGAGTTCGCGTCTTCCGAGTATTCGATGCTTCTCAAGAACCTTCTATTCGGCTCCAGGACATCCCGGACTACAAACCCCACAAAGTGCACACCCTGGCTCTGGGTACACCTTTGCCAGACAAAGACTTCGTCAGTATCACCGGAGAGAGCATCAGCGATATATCAACACAAGTTCACGATCCGGAGCTGTGGAATACTTGCCAAGAATCGAGGTTGATGATGAAGAAAGCCTTTGTGTCACTCGAGGGATATAACTTTGACTCGATGGGGTACTGTCTTTCTGGTAGTGCCCCCTTCTATGTCACGTTGACAGACCAAGGCCATAATCTCTTTATCTTACGACCGGACAGCGTGGATTTCGATTTAGAAGACGTGTTTGGAGCATTCAGTAAAACTGAATTGGCATTCGGCATTGAGTATAGGCCCGAATGGGGATCGCAACTTTATGCCGAGGAACAAGGTGGTGAAATGTGTCTAGCGGCAAGACAGATTGCAGATCTTGGCAGTGATCTTGATGTTGGATATGTATACCTTGTAGATTATAATCTGAAACTCAAGACCGATGCTTCTTGTAAGCGCAAACCTCATGATCTTCGTACGCGCTACTACGCACGAGACAGGAAGCTTGTCGAGATGCATTTGGGCCACGAAAACGAACGGGACAACTGGGAGTACATCAACCCAATTCCAGACGGAGACTACCGCAAGTCATCTTTCTATTTTGCCGAGAGTATGATGGAGGCTTTTGATGAAGCGGAGTGGAAAATTACTGACGGACATGGCGGCATTCGCACGCCTGGGTTCGGCCTTCTAGGATGGGACGAATTTTGAGATTTAGACAGGAGTTTCGTTTCTAATAGAAGAACATGTTTCCCAAGCTTGAACCGATTTCTACTTTCCCATTCGTGATACGAGTGCACTGTTAGTGGCTTGGTGGCAAACTCTATCCGTCTTACACACAGCGTGAGGTACTTAGTTACTAAGTTCTGTCTGCTGATTTAAGCTCTCAGTGACATATAACTCAGATGGCTCCCGATGACTCAGTCGCTTTAGTGTTCGAAAGTCTAATTATTCGGCAGTATATATATCCTTTGTCTGCACCTTTCTTGCTGACACCCCTTCCACTTCTTTCGTCACGCAACTGACGTCCGCCCCTGTCCCTACCTATTTCACTGGCCCTTACCTAGCCTATTCTCCTATATCCCAGGCCGAGCACTTCTAGTCATGCCGACTGAATTCCATCTCTTCTCTGCGCTTCCAACCGAGCTTAGGCACGATATCTGGAATCTGGCTATTCGCCCCAAAGAGCCAGGAGTTCATATATTCCGAGTTTACGGTAATCATTGGGATCACCAAGCCCCGGAGGCCGTCCGGTTCTCATACCATGGGGATCGATTTTGTGGATGGGGTCTCGCCGTACCTTTGCCACACGAAGATGCCGCTTGTGTCAACAAACCTAGCGCGAGGAGTGTGTCGACATATATGATTGATATGGGACTATGGACTGCCTGTCACGAATCAATGACTATGATGCGCAAAGCCTTTTCAAGGCCCAGGAGTATCAAGTTCGGTGGACTTCGCATCCCCGAGCCAGTGATGTGTTACTACATCTCTGGAGGTGCGCCACTTTATTTCACAATAGATACATCGGAGGATCTTCTTATCCTGCGATCGGATAGTTTAGGATTCCACCTGGAAAAGAATGACTGCGCGCTAAGCTTCCACTTCCGGCAAATTGGCATCGAATACGAGTCAGACTGGGGATCGCAGCTTCATGAATACAACCATCATCGCGGAGAATGTCTAGCATTTGACGAGCTTTCGAACCTCTTCGATCATTGGGATTTCCGATGCCTATGTCTCGTCGATTATAACCTGAAGCGAAAGGCAAACGCTCCCCCTTACGACGGTTTATGCTTTTATGCAGGCAACAGGAGGCTTATACAGGTGGACTTCTTAGACGAAAATGATCGGAACCACTGGGAGCATATTGAGCCAGTTCCAGATAAAGATGAAAAGTCTTCATTCGCGTTCGCAGAACAGCTACGTGCATGCTACGAAGAGAGGCAAGACAGGTATCAACCTGTGTGCACACCTAGCATAGGACTTCTTGCATGGGATAACTATTGATAGCTAGAAAGATACAGAAGACAGAAGCAGGTGTTCAATAAATCAGATACTCAAATTGTCAGAACTCAAGTTTTAATCCCCCACCCTTTTCAATTGTGTACTGTTGGGGACTTAAGCTCTTTATGTGAACATGAAGCCAGCGGCAGCCTTTGATCTTAGATGCAAGCTCTGTTATAACGAACTCTATTCGTCTGACACACCACATAGTCCAATGAGAGGCTACGAGAGAAAATCAAGTTCTTTTATACTTCATACTTTGTTTCGTATGACTTGAGCACGGTATGGTTATAAATGTGACCTCCGACTCGATTTCCTTCATCTTCCCAAACCACCTCACCCTCACCCGTCTTACATCTCGCCCACCACCTCATCCAGAACCCGAACATAATAGCACGGTCCTAGCTCCAGAAACTTGGCACTTTTTCATCTTGCTATTTAGAACATGGTATCGGCATTCCACTTATTCTCAGCTCTTCCAACGGAACTCAGGTTACAAATCTGGAAGGACGCAATTCGGCCACGTCTGCCAGCGGCGCATATTGTACGTGTTCGTGGCTCCGATGTACCAGATCGCCCACAAAACACAATCTTTTTCAAAAGGGACCTTCGTGTAGACCAACAGCTTTCGCACAGTGATTGTATTGCGATTCAATCATGGAGCAGATATCTTGATGGTAATGACCATGGTAGCGATTTCGATATATCGGCATACTTGATCGATGCCGGCTTGTGGACAGCTTGCCGTGAATCAAGACTCATGATGCAGGAGAGCTTTTTGTATCGCGAATGGCACTACGGACCGTGGGTGGGATATCACATCTCCGGTGGTGCTCCATTATATATCACGATCCGTTCCAATGACCTAGTTATACTACAGCCCGATGAACTTTCCCTCGGAAGCTTTGATGATGAAACACTGGGCCGCTTGCACAAGCTAGAACACATCGGAATCGAGTACAGACCGGAATGGGGCATGGCCCGTTACGAAGAAGACGAAGAAAGCGAACAAGCCTTTGGATTCGCTGATATCCTTCGCTTCGCTGATGTGATGAGATATGCAACGTGCGTTTGGTTGATCGATCATAACCTAAGACGCAAGGTAGATGCCCCCCCTTATGTCGAAAGACATACTACATTGAGTTGGATAACCACGGATGTTTCTTTCTGGGCGGCGGATAGGAAGTTCTCCAGCATTGATCTTGAAACCAAGAATGAGGACCCCTTAACTCATTGGGAATACATCAACCCCGTTGCAGATGGAGATCATCAAAAGTCCTCCTTGCACTTTGCAGATCGAATGCATAAGGAGTACATGAACAGACGCATCCGGATGCAAGTTGGTGGACCACAATTTGGGCTTCTTGGGTGGGATCACCTTTGACTTTGGGATACGCGGACATACAGAAGTAGCACATAGACAGGTACACAAAATATGAATACGCCTAGTCAGATTATATCTCTACTTTTCTCAAATTATGGGAACAGAATCATTTTCTCTGTCCAATAGCTATCCTCAGTCCACCCAGGGACATTTAACCATCCACTCAAATCTGAGCGCCATACAGCTTGGAGTCACGCCCCTCACCAACTAAACACATGGCAAGCTGTGCTAAGGTCGGCATGCCAAAAGAGGCTTCAGCCTCAACGCACTGCGCTAAGATGGTATAATGTCTAGGTTGTTAGCTAGATGTGTTATTTACAGTTGAGGCTTGTGGCTAAGACCTTAAATCAGCAGACAGAACTTAGTTGTCGGAGGTCAAAAGAGGCTCTAGCCCCCAGCGCACAAAGGTAAAAAAACCACAGTTCAACACGTATGTAGACGGCAAGCATCTACGTCAGTTTGCGCAAACCATAAATCACTTCTTCTGACTCAAGTCTGAGTCACTACGTGCAAACCTTGTATTAAGTTCAGATGGAGTTGACATATATACCCCAACACCCTCATAAGAATCTTCTCATCTTATTGTCATTTCCTCTACTTTTCTCTCCCTCGCTTCCACTCTTAAGCTTCTTTGACAGCCACGATTGAATATCATGGAGGAACGTACATTCCACCTCTTTTCACAACTCCCTCTGGAGCTTCGGGAACAAATCTGGAAGATGGCTATGCGCCCGGACAAGCCGGGCGTTCAAATATTCCGGGTGTACAATCCTGAGCTCGACAATCCTAGACATGCGAAAGACATTTATGGCTTTACACTCAAGCCTGGCTCCCCCCGAAAGTATTATAACGTTCCACCGTGCTCGTATCGGCTTGCACTTCCAGTGTGGAACAAATATCCAGACAGCACCGACGGCTCAAGTGACCACAACATATCTACATATCTGATCGACAGCTCACTATGGACAGTCTGCCAAGAGTCCAGATCTATGATGAGAAAGACTTTCGGATCAAACGACGCGTCTAGCCAGAGACTCTTGGGATCAGCAACTGCCCACTATCTCTCAGGTGGCGCCGCTTCATATGTCACAATTTACCCGGAGAAAGATCTGATTGTCCTGCAGTTTGATGACATGTTCAAATTCGACTGGTTTTTTCTATATGATCTGTTCAATTCAAATAGATGGGGTTGCGGTATTCGCAACATAGGTATTGAGTATCAAATAGAATGGGGCCTTGATACCTCCAAGGGTGATGAAGATCCGCTCTATGAATTGCAATGTATCCCTTTATTGTCTAGCATTTGGCTGATCGACCACAACCTGAAACGACGAGAAGGTACTCGCCGCCAGAAGGACAGCCGCAAAGATGAATACAGATATCCGAGACTCAAAAAGCCATTTTACGCCAACGACAGAAAGTTTAGAAAAGTCAATCTTGAGAAGGAAGATGACTGTATGGACCATTGGAAATATCTCAAGCTAATTTCCGACGACTACGACGATTCCTCTATAGCTTTTGCCAATCGACTTCGGGAAGACGTCTGGGACACCAATGTCGAGAACGAGTTTAAGGGATCGCCTTGTTTCGTGGGTTTACTTGGATGGGACGACATTTGAGGATTAATGGATCATGTACCTGAACGAATTCTTGTTTCCAGAGGGCATGCATGAGAAAATCGATACGATAACTTTAAATATCATTAAGAAATTGTCATTGATCTCATCTGCAGATAACCGAAGAACTTCTCGACTCGTGCATGTACTTCCATTTGGACGACCTGTAGCGCTTCCAGATACCTAGAGTTCGGGTAAAGGCACAGTTTCGTAGAATTGTCGGAGGAACTTTGGGTGACACTAAGTCGACGATCAGAGTTCTTGGAGCACGCGGGGAGCGATGACAATCATCTCTCAACCGCTTGATGGCGCGTATTGAACAGGCAGCACATTGTGATACTCTCCACATATATACGCATATCGGATACTAGATAGCAGTCTGTTGACTACACCGTCTGTAACTGGCGCATCTATTTGAAATTCCGGCTCGCATACAAGAAACGTTGTCCCAACGAAAAGAGGCAATATCGATTCTTCGCCATGGATAACGCCACTTACAAAGCTAGATTTCTTCAACCCCCAAGTACTCTTTAAGAAACTTGATCTGCCGAGCCACATTTCGTTCAAAGTTGTTTCCAGTGTAAGCGTCAAAATGCCCCCCTGGCAACATAGAGAGCTATTTTGGTTCCCGTGCCCGAGAGTAGGCTTCGAGAGCTAAGTCCGTCGGTGTCAAAACATCGTTCTCCGCGACCGTCATCAACAGTGGCGTCGGCGAGATGCGATGGATCCACGCCGATGGATCGTGCGCACGGAAGAGCTCCAGTGATTTAAGCGTGACTTCGTTCTTCCATGCAGACTTGGGAGCCCAGAGTTTCCGGAAGAAGTCGTAGCTGTCAGGCGTGGGGAGTGCAGAGGGCGCCAAAGGGTTTTCGTCCACCACCTTGATTGCGGCCGGGGCGTTTCCAGCAGCTCGGTCGAGGGGGTCTGGCAAAATAAACGGGGATCAGCAATGAGAAGCTTTTGACTGAGTGCTAGGGAAGTTGACCAACCTTTCTGGAACTCGCCTTCCATGAACTCAGCAAAATCTGGCCTTACAAGCCTGTTGAAGTTTTCCCATCCGTTCAGGCACGGGACCTGAGAGAGAACTACTTTAACGCGTCTATCAACAGCGCCAACGCGTAGGACATGCCCGCCACTGTATGAGCTTCCCCAAATGCCAATCCTCTCCGGATCGACTTCACTCCGAGACTGGGCAAAGGTGATGGCATCGGATATATCGGCGACTTGGAGGTCAGGAACAATCTCCTGTCTCGGCTGACCTGGTCCGATGTCGCTGTCCCCGAGTCCTCGGTTGTCGTAGACCACACAGGCCATCTTCAGCCGGCTGGTGAAGCGTTCGGCGAAGGCGTCAAGATCCATCTCTTTCAGTGCTGAGAAGCCATGGCATAAGACTAAGCAGGGCAGTTTGGACGGATTCTCTGTCGGTGGCAGGTAAAACCACCCTCGGAGGGTAATGCCGTCGGAGGTAGTAAACTCAATGTTGGAACGAGGCATCTCTAACAAATGATGTATACCTAATTCGGTAGGGATGTGTATTGACTGTATTTCAAGGCAAGATCTAGGTAGCTACAAGTGATTTAAATGATAAATCCGGTTTTAGACTTGGAGTGCTCTTAACGGTGTTTTCAACATTGGCCAGACGCACGAATTGTGCGGCATCTTAGTCGAAGCGGCGTCTCAATTTCGAAGGCTTCTCAACTTACAGGCGGCATCTCAGCTATGGATACACGGCATCTAAAGTTACCCGAAAACATCCAAGTTAGCTATTCAAAATTCAAAACTAAACTTTACTCCCCGAGACATACAACTCAAAATACGTCTTCTGTTTTGTATTGTCTGTTGCCGCTTCCAGGTTCCACTATACCTGGTGTTAAAATATCCAGAAAGTCACATGTTCATACAATGCATCCAATGTCCATGGTGGTTGTTTTAGAGTATCTAACTTTGCACAACATCCCTCAAACCTACACCAAAACTCAACGTCTGTCCGTCGAAACAAGCATAAAGTCAAGCACAACAAAAGGCTAATGTTCGCAAAAGCTGTACTGGATGGAAGACCACTTCTCCTCAGCATCTCGTTGATAGCGAGTCCTCTCGTCCATCAACTTCAGGCGATGCCCCTTCGCCTCTTCCAATGACATTGGCATTGTTGATCCTCTGCCTCAGACTCCACCATGCTCACCAGTTCCGCCGGAAGAGGCTTACCACTCTCTGCCGCAGCCTTCAACCCAGGATTCTCTGGCTCTCCTTGAGCTACCAGTTTCGCAACTGCGTTCGGAATTTTAGTGGCGTTATCACCACTCAAGCCCCCAAACGTAGCCTCCATCCACCAACTCTTCTGCTGAGGCGGTACGTTGCCCGTATTGATGATCCTTGTCCTCGGATCAATGAGCCAAAGTGCTATAAATCGTCGATGGCCCGGTTTGCTCATATCGTCCAACTCCACATGTGAAACTCTGTGGTGGAAAACATTAGGGAACGCCAACAACCTACCCTGCTTCGTCTCAATCTTTCCATATCGCTGTAGACAATCACCGCCGTTCAATCTTGTACCATAAACCTGCTCCATCCATCCGTAGGCTTCCTGTCCTACGTTCCAGTCCTCTTGATAATGATCGGTCTGCATACGGAATTGCAGATGACTTGGCTTCACGTTCTCAGAATCGAGGTAGTAAAGAGCTGTGCCAACGATATGTTCGTTCATTTGACCTTCGACGTGCCACCCTCCAGGAGGGAACACAGGCATGTCTGGGGTGAGCTCGATTGAGGCCATCTTGACGATGACTTGGAGATCCTTGAAGCGCTCGCGCAATGACGTTCCTGGCTTGACACCATAGTCCCAGGCTTTAAACTCTGGCGCCTCAGGCTGAACAGGCTCTCTGATCTTCTCCCAGGCGTCTAGCTTGCGGGTGTTGTACAGGAGCTTCCCATATCCGTCTCTGATGACGTCTTCATATTCGACTTCACCTGCGTCATGGGGCGTCCAGTCATCGATCGGCGGGGTCCAGTTCGCCTCGTTTTCGTCGCTTTGAGTGATTGTGAGCTTCTGGTCGGTCTTATCCCAGTGAAACGTTGCTACTTACTCGGGGTTTTCAGGGCGCGGGAAGCGAGCCTCGGTCCGTCCAGCGGAGACGATGTTCCAGTCCCTCAGAAACGACACACTGTGATCCCAGGCCGGAAGAGCTCTTTCGATGAGTTTCTCCACTGTCTCATATATATTGCGGTGCTTGGGATGAAGGTTGTTGATGTAGCTCGTCAATTTGACAGTCCCATCATCCATGAGCTTGACGTTAGACGGAAGCCACTGATACGTATCGGACCAAAACAATTCATGGGTTTTCCTGCCAAACATTTCGTAGCGTCCATCGTATTCCTCTGGGACATCAGCAGGTTTCTTCGGTATGACTTCTCCTTTGCCACTCCATTTTTCGATGGCATCTTCGACACCGACAACCTCGTCGCGAAATACTCGGGAACGACCATAGACAAGGGGGTATAGAGATGGGTGCACAAGGTTCTGTACCAAGTCGTAGCTGCGAGGATGCCAATCTGGGTTGTCTTTTTGTTCTTCTTTTAGCTTCGCAAAGTCGTCCCGAAGGCGCTCATGGAGACTCTCGTCGATGAACGTGTCGGATTTGATGACCGTTGCGTTTGCATCCAAAGCTGGTATGAGACCAGTTTTCTCAAAGAATTTAGCCTTGACACGGAGCTCTTTGATACACTGCAAGTGATCAGCATGGAGAAAATGATGAAGATTGATATTCTTACATATTCAAGACAGCCCCGATCTAGGATGTACTTGAGTCTATCGGGGCCATATTTGTGGCCAGATCTGAATCCTGGGTTTTGGTTCTGTACAATCTCATCGTATAAAGGATCAACTGGAAGCGCAAGGGCTTCTTTAATCCATTTCTCGGCGATGGTCTCATCAAAAACCTTGAATCCAATAAGCTTCATACCAATCGATATTACATACAAGCATCCATACCTTTATGTGCCAATTAGGCTTATCTGTCAATTGATTCATCACAATCATCATGGCAGCCTCCCGCACAAGCAACATATCGGATTCAACCCCGGGTGAGTTATAGTGAATTCCAATTGGATACATTTCGCCTTTGTGGTGACAATCATGATAGCGAAGATTCATGCCGAGGCCCGGGTAGCAGCCGACTGTCGGAGGGTCAGGCTTCTTGCGAAGGTACATGGTGCCGGAATGGAGTTGAGTTACTTGGAGGTAGTGGTGAGTTAGGCGACGTGCCGCTCTTATTTATGCGCGATATTATCGTGCGTCTGGGGGGTCGATCCTGTTGAAAGGGAGCTGTTGGTTTGGCTGGTGCACCAACCAGTCGCGAAATCACGTGTGGGACGGGGATATTTAGGCAGACCAGGCAGCCGTACTGGGATATTGTAAGCTCCCTCCAGGCTTGACGGTTGATACAAGAAAAACTTTTAACAATTAACTAGGCCAGAGCGCGTGTTTCCTCAGTTTTTTGCAGACCAAGGTACCTTGCTGTAAACTGCTATATGATGTACTACGCCCCAGGCTTAAACCCACCAGGCTTAGTGGTTCGCAAGGACACCAGCACCCTTGTTCTTCTTCTTCTTTTGTCTATGCTCCATTTTCATTTTGCAGTTCTAAATGAAAGCTTCTGATCAGAGCATCGCTCTCATCAAGTGTCACCACCTTGAGATCCGCTATGCTCTTAAACTTAGCCGTACATTCCTTGACCTGGGCATCGGGCATCTTCAGACCAAGCTGGTCAATATGGCTCTTGATGGCATTCCATCCAGTAAGTCTGGATGTGAAGTGCACGTATCTTGATAGACCGAAATCCTCGTGCTTGAGGATCTCATACGTGGAGGGGTCGTTGAGGATTGCCTTGGCATGGATGCCAGCCTTGTGAGTGAATGCGCAGAACCCAGTAGTTTGGTCGTTGAATGGCACCTTGATCTCAACGCATTCTGCAACAAACTCTTCGATCTTCTTGAGTTCGTGCAGCTTGTACTTGGAAAGAATGCAGTCCCTAGAAGTCGGCATCATTCTAGCCATCTGTAATTTCATCGACTCAGATCATATCCATGTTCATAAAGAATGTGTGTTTAACGCACGAGAGCTCCAGGTGGGGTGATGCCAAGTCGCCATCTGTCGCGTAGCTTGGTCGCGAGGCCACCTGATTCGCATCCATCATCTGTTTGATCTTGCTTCTCATTACTGGCCGCAGAGCGAGAACTTGTTATCCAGTACAACACGGTCTGATGACATTCGCTCGCCATCTCGAATCTTTTAGACACGATCCCGGGTAGCCTGGTAGTCATGGTAATAAATTCATTGCTTCTCGTGCCAATCTGCATCGCTATCGGAAGGCTCCTCATACACTAATTTGTATATCAGCCTAGAGTTACCTGGTGGGCATATTCAAGATCTGTTCAGACCAGGGAGCGAACAATTGTTGCGAGTCTCAGCATCGCCTTCTGGTCATCTGACATGGTTTCCAGCGTTATATGGGGATCAATATACCCGTGGATCTGACCTAACGGAAGCCCCACTCTTCGAGTGGGCGGCACAAACCTGGGACAGGGTTAAAAATCTAGGATAGCGATTTTACAGGGAAATTATACTAAAAAAAGAAGTAAACTTCTTTAACTTAAGATTTCTATATAACTTAGTTTGAAGGTGAAGAGTAATAATAAAGGAAAGACTGCAAAAGATAATAATTCCTAATAGTCTTAATTATAAACTATATATAAACTGCTATAAAGGTTTAATTAAGATAAGGTCTTTGTTATTAGATAGGAAATCAAGTAATTAGTTTAATAGTATTAAATATAAGGATAAAATGTATAAAATTTAGTCTAAAAAAGTATAAAGAAGCTAAGGTTCTAAGGAAATCCTGTCCCTTTATATCTGTTAATATAGACATCCTTCTAACCCTACCTATATAGGCTAGACCTCTTACCCTAAACTGCTTGCCATAACCGTTATATAGGTCCCTATATGGTTTTGCTATATACCCTTATGCCTAAAAAACTATATTAAGTAAGCAGTCTAACTTAAAGTAATAATATATATATAAGTCCCTAGTTTTATAGTAACTATCCTTTATATTAAATAATTAATTAATCCTAAGCTAAGTTCTTCCCTATTTTTATTATAATTATTCTTCTATTACTTTTAGTTTCTTCTAGCTATTTTCTCTTCCTATAATCTTTTTACTATAGGCTTAGGTTAAAATGCCTTAACTATAGCATTATAAGTATTATTTTATTGCCTAGGGCTTATAAGTCTAGTAGGTATAAAGGATACCTATGTCTTTAAGGTTAGGAAATATACTAAATTAGTTTTAGTATAAATTAGTAAACCTTACAGTCTAGGCTTAACTACTATCTCCCTAGTATACTTACCTATAGTTTTAATTATCTTCTCAGTATACCTAAAGTCTAATACAGGTATATAGTTATAAATAAGGTAAAAAGTATCCTTAATATTTACTAGTTTATTTACCTTAGTAATAATTTAAGGGCTACTAGGTACTAAAGCTACTTAATTATTTAAACTCTTCTTAGGAAATAAGCTTATAATCTTAAGATTCCTTAGTAAGGTAACCTTAATAAACTTCTAGTTAGTAGCCTTATTTTATAAAGTCTTTAGTATTTATATTTTCTATTTAAAGGCTACTAGAGGCAGTAATGCCCTTAGAGTCTTAAGTATAAAGGGTACTGTAACTAGCAGTAGTAAAGGTATAGCTAGTACCTCTAAGATATAAAGTAGTAGGGGTATTAAGTCTATAGAGGAAGTTAAGAGGGTTAAGGAGTTACATTTTAAAGCAGGCACTAACTAATTACTTAAATTAATCTACATTAAGGATCCTAATCAAACTACTAAGTCTCTAAATCCTAGTACTAGTCCCTAAACAGTTATACTAACCTAGCTAAGCCGCTTAGCCTATACTTCCCTTACTCTTACTAGAGTTATATAGGGAATAGGAAAGCATAGCTCTTTTTTCCTTTATATAAAGTAGCCTTTAAGAGTATATAACCCTATATAGTAAAGTATATACTTATTATAGCCCTTCTTTATTTCTTCTTCTAGCTTAGTAATAAAGATATAGTTATATCCCCTAAGGCAGCTAAATATCCTTCCTTTACTTAGGTCTTAAGGAATTAATTAGTTCTAGGTAAGTAATTTACCTATAAAGCCAGGTATAATTAATATTAAAGTACCTTTTAGCTTATTATTTAGGCCTTAAACTTAGTAATAGTAAGATTTATTATAAATACTAAGCTCTTCTAGGATAGTAATCCTTATAAGGTTATATATAATCTTTTTTTACTACTTAAGATTATTTTAAGATATAACCTTCTATAGAATTAGTACCTAGTTACTATACTATAGTCCTGCTAGCTTATACAGTTTATCTTTATAGCTATTAATATTTAAGGCAAGTAAAGGTTTAATGCCTTCTTAAGAGTTAAATATAAATTTATAGTATCTATATATTATATAGGCAAGGGATTAGATCAATAAAAAGCTATAGTTATTACTATTAGGCTAGTTTATTAATACTGGCTTAAAGTAGTTAAAGTTATATACCAGTCTATAGATAGCTAGCTATTCCCTTTAAGCCAGGATAGTTATATTAATATATTCTCCCTAGTAATTACACTAAGTATTAAAGATATATAGCTAACTAATTAGTTAGTTCTATAGAATAGTAACCTAATATTAGCCTTTATAAAAGAAGACTAATAAACTAATAAACCTTTTCCTAGTAACCTTTTTCCTTTAGTTTTCTAGGACTTTATAGGTATTAAAGTCTATAAGGACTTATAATATACTATCCAGGAGTTATAGTTTATATAAATAGGTTATTAGGTCTCCTACTATACTTACTAATAGAGTATTAGTAAAAGTCTTTTTATTATAAATTTTAAAGGCCTAATTATAAATATAGTAAATATTAGTTATTCTATAAGAGGTTATATTAAGGAGCTAGACTAAGGCTTTACTACTTATATATTTATTTTATTCTATTTCCTTAAGGAGCTATATTAGCAGGGCATAGTATACTAGCCAGGTTACAGGTTATATAGTATTTAACTACTATTCTTAGAACCTATCTAAAGGAGGTGCCCTCTTTATAACCTATTTATACTGCTAAGAGGTATATACTATATTATAGCATAAGGGATTAGATATCTTAAGCTTCCCCTAGGTCTTTCTTAGGTAGATAATAGCAGGCTAATAAATAAGGGTTAAATCCAGGCGCCTTTACTTAGGCTTTATAAACTCCCTTTTATTATAAAAGTCTTCTATCTTACCCTTACTTTTATAGTAGCCTTAAACTGTAAAGTATACTATTAAAAGGTTAATATAGTTAGCTAAGTAGTATTACATAAGGGATCAGTTTTATATAAAAGGTAGTTTTTTATTTAAATAAAAAAAAAGAGTTAGGGTCTTTAAGCTAATATTACTAAGGTTACTACTAGTTACTAAAGTATCTAGCTTATAATTATTATTAGCTATTATAGTAATTAATAAAGTTAAGTAATTAAGGCAGGTATTAGGGAGTAAGGTTATTAGTAAATAGAAAGTAGTTTAATAGGCTTATCTAAGCAGTAGATTAACTAATTAAATACTTTATAACTTATAGTATACAGCGTAATGTAACCGTAGTATCTAAATTTATAGTTATAAAAACGGGAATTAGGATAGGGATTATATAAAGGTATATATATAGAAGGGCAAAGGGCTTTAGGTTAGAAATAGCTTTAAGTAGTCTTAAAGTATAGAGGCAGACTAGTAAATTAATTAATAAAGTAGGAAGTAAGTAATATATTTAATTAAGGAAGGAAAAAGAAAAGAAAAAAGAAAGAAAAGTAGCTTTTATACCTTTAGAAACTTCTCTTACAGTTAGGTTAGTAATTTATCCCTAGTTATATATGTAAAGCTTTTATCCTAAACTTAAGATCCTTTTCTTTACTATTATACTTTACCTTTTCTTCTTTTTTTTAATTCTTTTAATCTTACCTTCTTTTCCTTTTTTTTTAATTAATTAATTCCTTTTCTCTAATTAACTCTATCCTTTAGTACCCTTTTATTATTACTATAACTTCTAAGGCTCTTAATAGTCTTAACCTTTTAAAGAAAGGGAAAAAAAACCTCCTAAGCCTTCTTAAAATTACAAAATATTATATTTATAAGGCTAAATTCTCCCCTAAGGTTAACTATCTTTAGTAATCTTATAGTAGTATTTAGATCTTTACTATAGACTTTAAGAATAGCCTCTCTTATATAACTATAAGTATTGCTTTTATAATTCCTGCTTTAGTACTAACTAATTATTTAGCTCTTTAACTCTCTTAATATCTAGATTTATAGTAACAAGGCTATTAACTAAATAGGTTATTCCCTATACATTAAGCTTACTTATTATCCTACTCTAAACTCCACTAAACTAACTATTAAGTCCACTATCTCTCTTTAGAAAATAATTATTAAGTAATAAAGTTGCCTTAATGCTATACTTATAGATTAGCTTATAAAATACGCCTAGCGCTAGTTCTAGCCTATATATATTCTAGCTAAGTTTACTTATTATTAGGGATAGTTTTTCTTTAAGCTTATTAAAAGCTTGCCTTACCTTAAAGCCCTTTTAATTAGTTTATTTAGTATTTATAATCCCAAGATATACTAAAACTATATTACTTCTTATCTCTTAACTACTAGCTAGAATAATAAATATATCCTTTAGCCCTTTTATTATTATATCTTAATTAAAGGTTTCTAGAGTAGCTAGTATTTAAATTATATATAAAATACTAAAAGTAACTATAACTAGTAATCTCTTTCTATATACTAGGCTAATAAACCTTACTCTAGTTTACTTAAAGCTTTTTTATTAGGAAAAGATAGTATTGCTTTATTTATAAATACCTTTACTACCTAGGATACTTATAAGGTCTTTAAGGATTAACTAAACCCTTAATCTTACCCTTAAATTACTAGTTAGTAGCCTATTATACCTTAAGATAATAAATTAAATAGTAATAAGGTAGTAAAATACGCTAGATATATTTATAATAAGATTAAGGGCAGAAATTAAGGTATCTCTGGCTAGGAAAGCTAAGATTTTTAGAGCTAGGATAGTAAAACTAAGTAATTAGTTAGTACCCTTTCTTTAAAGATAGTATTTTCTATATAATAGATCTTGCTTATTTAAAATAATTAGAGTTGAGTTTATATTTAGGAAATTTATAATATTAGTAGTTTATCTATAAAATCTAAGATATATTTAGTTCTTATTTAGAATATTAAA